TACATAGTCACATTTCTATAGCTGGGCAAAATTATAAAATGCAGCATGAGCATGAAATGTTCGAAAGAATTCTTGCTTTTGTAGGAAGCCAGTGAGTTTGTTTGAGGATAGGGGTATTGTGACAGTGGCGTTACGGACGTATTTTGTGGACAACCATAAAGAAGAGAATTGCAGTAACGTAGTCGAAATGTTATCCGGGCGTTGAGAATAGTAGATGTAGAGGAGAGACTGAAGAGACGTAGATGAAGCTGTGTTTTTGATGTGAAACATGCATGATTTAGAAATTTAGGCTATTGCTTTTTTTTCATAGACAGAGACTTGTACTCAAAAACACAGATAATTTTCGCATTAGAAGGAACACTGACCATACTTGCCTCTTGATACTGAGGGTTACAGCAACGTGTTGTGTTGACTACCTAGCAGAGGTTAAGTCTTGTGTTATGATAGTCAGAGGAGGCTGATGAAACATGGACATTGTATTGCAGTATGTACGGAAACTTCTACTTGCACACGTGCGCGTACATAAACACGCGTAAATATTTGCTTCGCCATCAGCAAATACTTTATGCGCGTTTGCTGCCCACCCACCTGTGTACCAATTGTCTCTTAGGAGATTATAAAGAAAACATGGACTGAATGTCAGAATGGATTCATTTGCCATTGGTAAGTATGGTAAAATCGTCTTTTACCCCAGGAAACTCCTTTTTTGACAAAAACGAACTGTTGTCTTTCCCTTTTATTATAAAGAATTTCTCCTGAACTCTCAAGTGTTAAAATTTCAGCTTTAAGATCGAGTTGCTTTTATTATTTTTATCATTGTTTTGTCATTATTCTTGTGTTATGTAATATATATATATATATATATATATATATATATATATATATATATGACCTTGTAAAGTATAATATAATGATAATTATTCAGTATGTGAATAATGAGCAAATAGAGCTTTATATAATGACCAGATGTAATAGGTAAATAACTAATTAAATATTCTAAATAGATATTCAGTTAAATACATGTTCATCTTAGTGTGTGTACAGATTTATGATAAACACTGCATGTAAAAATTACAAAGTTATGTATACATAAACTAAACAATTAAACATGACATTAATCTCGAGAAATACGTTCAGGGAACATTAGGTCCGTTTGTTGAAATATGTGCACAGTCTTTTTTAAATTTTATCCGTGCTTTTCATGACACTTCGGGCACAATTTAGTGAAAAGGAGTCGTGTACGATTCTTTTGAAATGGCTAGGTGATATGCACGTTTTATGGCGTCTGTTATCTTTCATTTTATCTTTATAAACTTTTCATTCTTTTAATATCCTAAGGGACATCTTATTTAAGTAATAGAATTTGATACCGAAATGTGCATTTCTATGTGAAACGAAATGAAAGTACAATTTTGTACAAATATATCCGTTCATTCAGCTAAAACCCAGATGAAAAAACATTTTTAACATTTTAGAATATTTTTTTGTAGCTAGGAACTCGAAAGCCCGAGAGCCGAAAAGAAAAAAAAACAACACCCGTATGAGTCCCAGAAAATTTTGTTTATTTTCTGTTTTATGACCCTATTCCACACCACGAATTCCACAAACCGCCAGGAATTGATCAATCCCAGGGTACTTACTTTAATTGTGATGAATTCTTTAAGCTGTTGACTGATTCTTATTTATTCTTAGTCAGTTCTTGAGATCGTGAAATCGGGACAAACGTTTGAAGCTATTCACAATTTTGGTTCCAAACTCCCGAATGTAAAACATCGTGCATGGTTAATCTGTGGTACATTCTTAGTTATATGTAAATGATTCCTAGTACATTTTCAGCCACTCCTATGTATTCTTACCTTAATCTGGGAATCGTGGAACATTTATCTGATCACGATTTGGCTACGTTTCTGTAAAGTGGGGCTGAAGGCTTTTTATACCTGTCTTGAGGGAACATTCCTCGACATTTAAAGAATAGTCAAAGATACTTTTATGATCTTTTATAATCGTGCCAGAATCGTAGGTGCATTCGGCGGATACATAGCTTTCTCTTAACCGAATCCTAACAATCTTCATTCTTAAAAAATTTAATAAAACGTATCTGTTTCTTGACAATATTCGTGCTGTTCAAGCAAAAGTCTACAAATAGTAAGTATATCTTAACAAATTTGAAACCTTCAGGGTCAGGATTTCTACCAGAAATGTGCGAAACTCTACGATTTTTAAAATATATCTATTCCTGGAATTCGTAGTCGGAGTGGAATAGGGGCATTAGCCCCATGTAATAAGATACTCAAGTCACAAACAAGCATGATGCACGTTGAGCACGTGTCTTGCAAGAATTTGTACAGCTTACGTGGATCTTTGAATACGAAGCTGTCACAACCCCCTCCCCCGCGCAAGGATGAGTGGGCAACATACTCGTGTAGAAACATGTGCTTAAAGAACAACACATATATTTACAGTACAAGCGAATCTTTTGTGTATACAGAAAAATAATCCGTCACTTGTATGAACGTGTTCAAGCATCCCTTTCACCTTTTCATTGAAAACAGTGATCATTGATATTTATGTCTTGAGCAGATATAACATTTGGTGACATTTGATGTCGCATTGATATGGTATTCAGTGGGTGGTAGTAGGCCAAAATTAGAATCTTAACATTGGTCAGGTATATAAACGTGAACTAGCCTTGGATGAGATACATGTATGTATCTTATAATGAGCACTCTTCTACATGTAACCTGGGATTTATATTTAAAAAAATTGCCCAAAAGTCCAAATCGCACATGTGTGATCCATCTTTTTTTCTTTGCGTTTAAACGCAAATATATCCTATGAAAGTATCGAGGTAGTGGTATGGTATTGTGTTATTGTTACTGGATATAACATGTTCTGATTAAAAAAAAATGCCACTGGATTTTTTGGACCCTAATTAAATGGAATCATGACCATTCTAGGCAAACTCCAGAGACTTCGGGACCCCTCTCCCATTGCAATACACGTGCCATCATGACGTCATAGAGCGAACGCTGGGACGCCTTGTATTTATATAGGCAGCTGATCCGTAATTTTTGATATCATCTTTAAACTAACAATTTTACGCACACTTTCTAAAAACCGGGTTGGCTGTCATGTTTTCTGTGGAATGAGTGATTTCATAAATCGTTTCCACATTCATTTCACTTTTAAAATTCATGAAAAACAGCAAAATCACCAGCATGTATGATGATATTGACAAAAATTATTTTGACAGTGTTGAGCTTAAACACCTGTTATATACAGGCAAATAAGATCCTTTGTAGTTTACAGCATTTTAATTAACTAGACACCATGCCGTATAGACGGATATTGCAGTGTGCGTTCAATGTACTGACAGGTATCTTAATCACACGTTTAGGTACATTAGCCACCTCTCGTTGAATTTATCTGAGGACCAGTAATACTTTTTATCAAATTTTAACAGTAACCCTGTTAATTATTTGGTTCTTCAGTTGCCGAGAGGTTTGTTTAAATAATCTGGTTTCGTTATTGAACTCGGATTTCTTCTGCATGCTATTCTTTCATTATTTGGTTTTCCTATCTCCCGTCCACTTCCAGGTGATGTCCGCTCTTCCTGGTAATATTTGTTATACATTTTCTGGGTTTTTACTCAAAAATACACATTATATGTCACCATGCGCTGATGCGCCTTATTGTCCTTCAACATTTCACAGAAGTTTTTTTTTTCTTCCGGGCATTTATTGCCCACTGCGCCCCGCTTGCCTGAGTCGCTGACGTAGACTATCGGTGCCAATTAGTGCATTGCGTGATACCGTATTTTTCATTTGAAAGAAGGAAGTTATTTTGTCTTGGCGTGGACGTCGTGGATTGCTACTTCTGTTGACTTCTCACATATAATTGATTTATATAATTACACAGTGGATTAACAAAATAATGCTGTTTTCTATTGTAATTTTGCCAATTTCTTCTATTTATTTTGGGCGTATACATTTGCTGACCTGTGCGTGTGCCTCATTTTGAAAAGACAGATACCGTTAAATTAAGGTATAATGCGGGGTTCTCGTGTCATATTACCTTTTTCCGTGGAAAAAAAATTCACTTAATTACGAATTGTTGCTCGAACCGTCCCTGCGCTTTCATTCGATATTTTGTAACAACTGTGAATTATCGGCACGTGAAATCGTTGTTTGCGAGGTGTTTTTATTCCGTTGGGAATGTAAAAAGCGACAAAGAATTAATCAATGACTTAGCATTACTCACAGTTCGTTACACTTAAGGGCGGGATGTGTGGGCATCACGGGCAACATTTGCTGGCCGCTTCAAGAAGCCTGAAACACAATCTGTTGTGCAAAGCTGTAGCAAATATAAAACACCAAGGTTACAAGACTGAAAAATTCAATAAGGAATGATAAGGTACAACAGCTACGAGTAAGGGATAATAATGTAACCAATGCAAATCAATACAGCAACGGCAGCAAATCTGGGAACAAAGGTTGAAGTGATTCATATCTGCAGCCCGTGAAATAGGGAGTCAATAAATCCGCTTCTTTCAATGACGTAGTCAAACATCGCATTGGAACAATAAGGGTATATAGAATGGAACAAAAAAAAAAAACAGATAATTCCTAAGTCTGTATGATATCGAACATTAAATGTGAAAATAAGTGATATCGATAGTTACCATGGTTAAAATTAGGATGGATTGTCCTCACAACTGTCTCTATGCACTGAAGTCGTAAAATAGGACAACACTAATTGGTTTGAAGACCATCAAAAAACACCGCAGCCGACTAGTGCTCTGCGATAACGAGTTTCCAACAACCGGCAGATCATTTCGTCTGAACACTCGCTAAAGCCACAGAATGAAATGGGGAAATGGTTTCCATATTTTTACGTCGCCCAGTGGTTACAATCGCAACATTCTGGGCCTCTGGAATAACACGAATCTTTATGAGAACCATTTCAGCCATCAATATGGCAACTTCGTAAATTCCAGCTCAATGGTTTCTGCCGGCCGTTTTCCAAGTGATTCTGGATTGACGTACACTCAGAATATACTGGTCGGGGTTTACGTTTTGGTAATAGCGCTTGGTGGTATACTGGAAAACAGTATCGTGGTGATAGTTTACAGAAAGACAAGACGTTTGCAAAACTCTACAAACCTTCTTCTCGTTTCAACATCCGTGTGCAATCTATTGGAAGCCACCATATCCTTCCCTCTCTTGGCTGTTTCAAGCTTTGCTGAAAGATGGATCTTCGGGGAGATTGCCTGCCAACTTTATGGTTTTGTGATATTTTCTCTAGGCCTGGCGGGTATCTTTCATCTCGTTCTTGTCGCCTTAGACCGATACGTCGTGATATGCTCCAAAAAGACCGTCAGCAAGAGTTTGGCCGTCAAGGGCTGTACGGCCTGCTGGTGCGCCGGAATACTGTGGGCCATTATGCCGTTTTTCGGTTGGAACAGTTACATATATCAACGAGAACATTTGTCGTGTTGCATAAATTGGTATTCGAAGGACCCACAAGATTTAAGTTTCATCTTTACTGTGATGGTGTTTTGTTTATTCCTACCGCTGCTGATAATGCTTTTGTCGTATCAGCAGATCTACTTCTCGGTAAGTATGTGTACACGCTCATTTATGCGCTTGTTATCGTTTCCGACGTATTATCACGTACACTGAAAAGTTAAAAACCGTGATAATATACAAGTTGTATATTTTCCTAGATTAGCATGTAGTTATACTCTGTTTAATATTTATGTTGTCCAGCTGTATTTTAGTATTCTAAGAACATAATGAATCAAGCAGTTAACAAAAAATAAAACAAAAAAAGCATAATCAGTAATCACATCCGACAACATTAAAAAATACAAATTACCGTAAATGTATTCATAAACGTATTTATTTTCCGAATTAAATATTTGTGATCGAGGATAAGCAAATAATTGACAAACTGCGCGCCAACTAACAATATATTTTGCGATTGATTAGTGCGTTTAAAAAATATCACATTCAGAGGCGGGCATTGCCTTGGCCTGTATTCTTAGTAACGGTTGCGACAAAAGTGACATAGAAATCGTCCATTAGGTTTCCGTCTATACTTTAAGAGTACGGCGACTCTTTATGGCAACTTGCATGACGTTAACAAGTTTGACTATAAGCACTTTATCGGAATCTAGGGTTTCATTAAATTATTCTGAGTTTGCACAAGATTTATCGAATTTTTTTTAGTCATTATTATTATTATTATTATTGTGGTATGAGTACATTTGACAGTGGGCATGGACTAATTATGATATATTCTACGATTATGTGGTTTTTAAAGTACAGTAATGATTTGAAAATAGGTTTACATTAAAATTGTATTCAGAAAATATTATAATTAAGGTACATGTATACAGGTATGATCAACTATTTTGAGTGAATATACGTTGGTTGCTTCAGAATATGGTTTCTTTCATTTTTGAACATTGTAACATAATTAGTTACACTCTTTATGGTTTTTCCGGTCACGTAAATGTAGAGGGGATTTGAATTGTTTAGTTGCACAAGTTCCAGTTCCTTTTCGTGTTTTAATATAGGTTTTTTTTACGAAAATGTAATTTAATTTCCACTTCCTTCGAACATTATAAGTAAATTCTTTGTTTTAGTTGACAGCGATTTAGGTGTCCAATATCTGCCATCTGTATCGGGCATCCCTATTGCAAAGGTTTTTATTTGTTGCACTAATACACTGGCTCTGTCCAGTCAGTGCATTAATGGACAAAAGGTGATAAAAAAAATGAACTTTCTCATGGCAACACACGAAATCTTTCCTACATTTTTGCCCTTCATAAAATCTCTCTTTTGATTTTGCTCTCCCTGGTTATTTTTTTCGAAGTTTCTAATCGAGATGATGTGTGCCCTTTATTTGCACATCTAGATTATACGTTTATATGGCTTTTTTTTTTCAACGACACGGTATTTCCTATCAAAATGTACCCAAGAAAATATCTGTTAAAGAAGCTTTAGTTTCCTCCGTCATCAGATAGAAGGCAGAATTGTTCGATTATATATTAAGGGGTAAGCTGCATAAGAACTACACTAATCGTCACCATATCTGAATAATTTTTGTAATATTACGCAGAATGACTTTGTTCATTCTTTCTCTTTCTATGTGTGTGTGTGTGTGTGTGTGTGTGTGTGTGTGTGCGCGCGTGTGTGTCAGAAACTTTGTATTAATTTCAACGTTGTGCCTTGGAGAAGGGTACATCAATCTAAACTGTGGCAGATGGCCTTTGTCCAGCAGCGATGGTCTCTTTGCGTGTTAATCTGAAAGATCATTCTTGAATGACAAACGGCATAAGTATACGGTGTACCTTTGGCGAGTCTGATGTCCTGTCTCATGTGCGTTGTTGGCAGTGCATTTTCAAATCATATTTCCCAAAGGCTATAGTGTCTCCAGCACATGTGCTGTGTAAGCATATTAAGTATACGCGTACGGTATACCTTTGGCGAGTCTGATGTCCTGTCTCTTGTGCGTTGTTGGCAGTGCAATTTCAATGTATATTTCCCAAAGGCCATAGTGTGTCCAGCACATGTGCTGTGTGAGCATATTTCCCTCTCAGTAATGTCTCTCTCTCTTTGTATTAACCTTAATTTAAAACATGTACCATAGCGGTGATTTAATAACCAAATCTCTAAATGTATGTTATTTGGAAAATATTCTTTTCAAGTTTTAAAGGATGCTTTCAGTAGCAAAAGGGTTAAGTAGATTTGTCATCATGGCTTCACCATTTTGCTTAAGTTAAACTGAAGATCAGTTTGATTGTGTTAAATAGGCCACTAGTATAGGCCCCTATGTATAGAATGGCTTTAATTTGGGAATCACTTGGGTCTGTTTTAAGTGTTTTATCTTGTATATGATATATGTAGGGAATACATTATTAGTATATTGTTAGTAAAGTTCGGTCGGTGGCAGTGAAAGTTGATTTGCCGCATTTCCTTGTGAGACACCAGTTAGATAGTGACTATTGTGTTCTTTGGAGAGTGAAACACACGTTATTAATGAAAAGCTTCATAGGCAAATTTGATTCAGTGAAGTCGAGGCAAAATATGTCTACAAACAGTGCACGTAACGCGGTACTGAAGTTTCACCTTTTTTGTACAATAAGGGGCAAGCCATTTGAAACTGTGATATATTTTGAAAATATCTTACAATAACAAATATTCAAAAGAAAAAAATGTACAGTGAAGAAAACCACGTCTGTTTGTTTTCTCAAAATGAAATGCCGTTTGTATTCCCAGTTCTATAAAGCATGTGCAATATCTTCACATAGTTATTTTGGCCATTAAAGTTTTCTTACATTATAAATAACATCACTCTGCTGTGCAAGTGGCACAGATATGCTGCTTCACCTTTTGGGACTTTTTTCTTTCCGTTGGTTCCAAAAGTGATGTATAATTATCGTCGACTGCACTTTGGGTTACATTTTCACAAAAAAAGTTGCCCTCTTTTATTAGATCTGCTCTCCAGTTCTGAGAAACATATCTGCTTTCCGCTTGGAATTATTTCCTCTCAAGAGAATGGCATGGCACCGTGCGGCTTTATCTCTTTAAAACACGATTAGTTGTCACGCACTCTTTAATCCCCTGATAATATTTTGTTATTTTCTCGCTTGATCAATTTGGGTAAACTTTTGTTCGCAATCAGGTGATATCTCTCGGGCTTTGATACAAGTCTGGGGCCTTGATGACCCTTCCATCAAGAACCAGGTTGAGACTTGGTGCTCTAATAACCTTCCTATGTTCTCTGTTTACTTTTATTCTTCTGAAATCAATTTGAATCAACCCATGCGTACTTGATGTATTCTTCATTGCCCCACTGTTATTCCGTATATATTTTTTAAAAAATTGGTTCCTGTGGTGTTGTTGCACATTTACACCGTTGAGAATTTTAATCATTTCATACATTTTCGTCTGTGTCCGCTTAAGTTAATCCGGGAGTCAAAGATCAATGTCCTCCGTTATATATATATATATATATATATATATATATATATATATATATATATATATATATATATACTGGAACTTAGTTGTTCCTGTTTTGTAACACCAACGATAACACCAACTGTTATGATGGCCAGATTTGGTTTTGATGTTGCATCGACGAACGGCCACGTTTTCCCAAAGGGGCTACCACTGTTAATTAATGCCAATCTGACACCAAGACCTTTTCATTATTTCATGTAGTTTTCCGTCTTTTATTTTCTTCTTTCTTTCTTATATTCTTTTTTTACTTGTTTCTTATTTTTACTTATATAAAAAGCTGCACTGGAAATAATATTTTAAGGCAACGGTTCCAAATGATTATATACCCCTAAATCCTCTGTACAGTACCTGTTGATGAGAATGGAAATTTGTGTGGCTTCAAACCCCGCTTAGTGTTCGATTAGGTTGATTGCAATTATTTTGAACTTGATCTCTTAAGCCGCTGTAAGACAGACTTGTGGCAGGTTGGAGATAAATATAGGCCCACACAGCGCTTCTGTTTCGACTGCACACCAGGTATAAGATTTGGCATGCATGACATTTGAGTGAATAACTAGAAAGACAATGTAATTCCTTGGCTGTTGCAGAGGCCGAAATTAAGCTTCGCTTATCTATTTCTAAAGACCATAAATGTTATCTTCTGCATAACATAACGCAATCTTGTCGTTTTGATAAATTTTGATGACTTTGGTATGGGAAGAAAGCTGAAAAGAAGTCACTCGTGTAATACTATTGCGCCTCAATAAATCTAGGTCTTACCATAAAACGATAAAACATCGGCATATCCTTTTGATCGTAATTATTTGTTCTTTTATCAAACGAATTAGGATTAAGCCCAACAAAATGGAAGAAAGGAAAATTTAAAAAAAGCTCTGTGTATCGAAATAACACAAACGTGTCAAACGGGAAGAAAATGGCTGGAATATGTAGATGGCTTAACTGAATTTCGGATCTATATTACGCATCGACTTACCGGGGTATCATATGTGTTCATATGTGTAATATATGTACTTGTAGAGAACGCATGTCCCCGCTTAGGTCCACACTGAAATGCTAAGACATTAAAAAATTAGATTGGTAAAAAGCTAAGTGTCATTGAGGAGTGAGCGTCCTCTGTGACAAGTTAAACTGTGTGTAAAAAAGGCAAAATACAAGAACTATCAACGTACTCAACCTATAACCTGATAACCATGGTCAGATGGTACATGTATAAAGAGATTTTACTTTGATGTTCGTTTTAACCAACTCGATCTTACTTATTATCTGTTTCATTATTTTTAGAATGTGTTAAATTCCCCAGTGCACTACAACGATGTCGGCGTTATGACATAAACCTTGAAAACTAACTCACCTGTCAAATAAAACAGCACTTTAAAACAAAAAAAAAAAAACAGAATGTGGAAAGAAGCTACTTTTTCACGGTACAATTTCATTTTCAAAGAAATATTTAAAGTTGGGGTCAGAAATGTCGCGTAATGATATAAAGCTATGTCAAAAACTGAAAAAAAAAACGTAATCTACTTTGAAGAAGATTTTACCATGTATCACGTTAAGTCTTCTTGCAAGTGCTTAAAGCAGTACAAGTGAAGTCACGTCGGTGCTATGGCACGACCTAAAGCTATTAAGTTAAAAAATGCTGACGGTATAAGGCTTCTCTTATTCATATTAAGGACACCGTAGAAAAGGATTGGCCTAACACTTGGCGGGCTGCCTCTCTATAGGCAGTATGCGGATAACGAAGAGTACGTAAGGAAAGCAATCGAGATGTTTCGTTAGCCTTGTACGAGTGACCATCCTAACGAACATAGCGAGGCGAAGGAAGACAGGAGATCTATTGATGTACATATGTTTTTGGCTCGTTGGAAATGTTTCATATGTTTGTTTCAGTAAATTCTATTATTTGATATTTGCATATTAAATGTATAAGTGATTGTAAACTGCATATAAACTTCTCTCTCACACACACACACATACACATACACACGCATTAACGAATACGAACGAACGCACATACTTTCACACATGCACACGCGCACATGACATGTAACATGCACATTGAAAAAAATCGTCCCTTTTTAAAAAATTTCATGGAAGGATTGGCCTGAAAATTATACCCATAAGTATCCAACGCATTTGGCACTTAAACCATTCATCTACTTGTACAGATGACGCAAAATTTATTAACACAATTAACCAACTCCAATTCTGCTCTCTAGTCATTTCCATGCAAAAATTCTCGAAGGTACAGTAAGTAATACACAGTGCACAAAAGTGCAAATAATTCAAACCAGAAAAAAATATTTGTGAATATCTCAAATTAAGCGTTGGCTCTGATAGCAGTTACCACAATACCGAGAAGAGAGAAACAGTATCTGGCTAATATGATATGAGCCAGCCAAAGAAGCTTTTAAAATCGATTCCATTTCCTCCCGCATTTATATCCCTTATCCTTATTTTTGCAACCTCCGGGGTCATGTTTTTTACTACCTAAATGCTACCAAACACACAAGTCGATAAAGTACAATGATTTGACATGCAGCCCAAGGTATTTTTCAGTCCATCAAGAATAACCAAAAATGCACGCCAAAGTGCCTTCGGTGTCAGAACACACTGTTTATGTACGACGCACTCAAGGTTTGCGCACCTTAGAAAGGTTATGTTGTCAAGACCCCGAAAAACGCTTCTGCCCTTGGGAATAACGCCTCTGTGTTAACCTTTCTAAATGTTCGTCAGAATATATCAATTTCCTCCCCTACGGGGTCTTACTGAAGCTGAGGTTAGTGCTACCTCAGTCAGGTCACTACCATCCATGTTCGTTTGGCAATTTAACTTCGATTAACTCGGGCTCGTTTTAAATCCCGAGTGTATTTTTAAAGCATAGAAAAAATCTGATCGTTCGGTTTTAGTTAAATATCCTGGACTTATCGTTTTTTGTTTGGTTTAAGGGTATTAGTGCTGTCAGGCCTTGTTACACCGGGCTTGGAGAACAAAAATATTATAGGCTTTTCTTTTGTTACAGAGATTTGTGAAACTGAGCCAACATATACATTCGTTTCCCAAGCCGTGTAAAAGGAGCTGTATAACACTTCTCATATTCATCGTTTGAATGTGATGTTGACGATGGAATGAAAACACCCGCACTTGCTGAGTATAGATGTACATTTGTAAGCACCTTGATTGAAAAAAGTATGTAATTTTCGTACAATATTGTGTTTCTGTCATAGCATTTGCTTGGAGTTATGGACGGTATCATGAATAAAAGCGGGCAGAATTCATCCACGAAAATGTCAACTGCTGTCATAAGCCACTTATCAAGCTTAAAGGAATAATAACTCTTCGTTTCGGCCAAAAAAGAATTTTCTTGGAGTAAACAACAATTTTTCCATACTTACCAATGGTTAATGAATCAAATTTTACATTCAAAGTTAGTCCCTGGTTTTTTTCTCTAAAAAGTTTTTTTTTTTTTTTTTGTTAAAATCTCTTAAGAGATTTTAACAGAGTATAGCCATCATTGGAGGTCACGTGGTCTAAAGACAAGCTCAGATATCAGAATAACAACTATAACTGCTGTTTTTGTGGTAAAACAGAATATATTATATTTCTATGAGTTATTCACAATGTTTTTATTGTGAAATATAGATCTCATACGAAGAGTTATTATCCCTTTAACTAAGCTGTCTTGGACAGTGCCAATTCGCGATCCCCGACGTCAGTGGGTGTGATAGCGGTCTCAACTGTCACATTCGCAATGTTGTCCTTCACCCACTGGGCGGTTTTCTAAAGAGTTACTGTATGAGATGCGCTGTCTGTGGATTTTAGATGCGTATTTTGTTAGAACAAACTATGTACTTCATTAAAAGAGTTGTGCGAGTAATGGTGATCATAATCTGTCTATATTTTTGCGTCGATCCATATCCCTTTGGGTGTCTTGATTACTGGTTTGAAGATAAACGCACGAATGACTGTTGGCAATAAGGGGTTCTTTTAAGACGCTTCGACGCTGTTTTTGATAGTGCCATCTGCTTATTCTATATCAAATAATCAAAGTCCAAGTTTTCTACTAAGCATTTTTTGATTTTGTGCGTTTAATGCAGGAATATGCTTCGCAATAAGCACCCGCTGTCGGATGAATCCGATACAGATGTACAGGTAATAGATCCACGCACATGTAACACCTGCTTAGCAAATCACGTTGTTAGGAACACCTTTGTTCCATTTTTTTCTGATTGGATTGTTGTTTGCAGGCAGGCACGTGCATGCAAAAGACCACTTAAAATAATAGTCAAAACATACTAACATGCTATCGCGTCTCTAGAACATGCTATAGAACAGAACGTGTTTTTATATGTAAGCGTTGGATTCGGGGTTGGTTCAGGTGCTAGAAGGGGGGAAGCCCCCCCCCCCCCCCCCCCCACACACACACACACACAAATCACAAGTTGTTTTCAAATACCCCTGAACTAAGTACGGGAAGTGGGCTGGGTGCGAAAAAGGAGCTTTGTCAACCTCTTATAGCCAAATTTGTACTTGAATAAGTCATTAATATCTTGGGCCTACACCTGAATCAACTGATACATTGTAGGTAAGTGTGTTTTTAATTGCAGTAACTCCCGGTTTCATTTTATGTCTAAAACACGTAGGAAACGCTGCAGGTACAGGTATATAGTTCCCAGCGCCCAGGGCTTAGTATCCAGGTGGTTCGTGCCATTTCTGCGTGTCTCTGGACTTACCGACGTTTTTTTTTTACCTGACACAGGTGCTGCAGAAATGCTAGGCACGACTGCCAGCGTTTTTGTTAACACGCAACTGTGCAATGAACCAGCCGTAGCCGGTCTAAAATTACGTTATCTGTCTAACTGCATTTTATCTTAACCTGCGGTGTGAAAATTGACTTTTAAACAACTTGAGGCTGTAGACTAAAAGGTTAAGCAAATTTTACCTGGCAGTTCAAGACTTCTGTTTGTTTTTGAGGGGTTTATTTTCTCAATTGTTTCACTATCAGTGTCACATTATTATTTTTACTTGTTATACACAGACCTTTCTAATATGGCTAATATTTAATTCTGAACAATTCTGTTTGCATTGTCCAGGGATACTTTTTTGCTCACGATTCACGACATCACTCAATCAGATGGCTTTTTGTAGAAACCATCCTCGATGTGTAAAAACAATTCAACAAATCAGCACAGTACCAGCTGTGAAGGCTATGAACCCATTCAGAACAGCGGACTAACAGATCCGCGGATCAAACATGGCGACCCACTAAAAAAGCTTGTCGCTTAATTCCCGATAAGGCACAGAATAAGGGGATTACGCAGCGACATTTATGGGTCGGCCATATTTGATCCGCAGTTCTGTTAGCCCTCTGTTCTGAATGCGATCTATGGCCTTCATGTGGGACAAGTTCAATGATTCGGATTGTGTGGTAAACCTGCACAATTTTCGTTCTTTGAAACCATCAATTAATCGAATAGTTATTCGAACTGACCCATTACTGATCGCGTTGGGGGCAGAACTGACATTTATGAAACGCTCTCTGAAGATATTGCGTGAGGCGTGAAAAGGTTAAGATTAATGAAAAAATTTGTTTACAACCTGATTTCTTCGGTAAATCAGTTTAGGTTACTTCATGGTTTAGATGTTTTCTTTGCTGGGTCTGCTCAGTCTTCACTCGCCGTGCGCCCCCCCCCCCCTCCTCCCACTTCCCCCTTCCTTGTGTCACTCAGAGAAATATTGCAGGTAACTCTTCAAATCTGGCAGCTGGAAACGCCCCCTCGTTACCCCAAGATTTATATACTTAACACTCAAGGAAACATCAGGGATGTGTTTTCTATCTCCTTTTTTGTTTCATCTGATCGAATAAAGCAGTAGTTTTTCTTCGGTCAACTGCTGGCAATAAAATCGTTGTTTACCTCCGTTATTTCCATGTTTATTTAGAGCATCTTCATCAAGGAATGATGTTATGCAGGCCGATAAACTCTGCCCAGTATTATATCATGAGTATTGGAGGTAAACAACAATTTGAAATTCAATACTAGCCGTTAATTGAAGTAAATACCGATTTGTTTTCAGTATCTGTCGAAGCTGATGTTGTTCATGTCTGATGTATGAAGTTAGCGTCATTGGAATAACGCACTGTGTAGTTCACGGAACCAGTATTAGTCTAATCTGTCTTCCTATTAGTGGAACGCATACGTAGTCACTACCGAGGAGCTTATAAATTGCATTGTAATAAATGAAAACTGCTTTGTGAAATCAACGATTGATTATTTTGACATTCAAAAATCATTGTTATATCTGAAAACACCATCACCGCTTTTAACGTTACTGATACCGGATGAGGTCGTTTACATTAACAACCCCAGGCGCATATTTGTTGGCGTATTTTTTTATTGTACGTTATTTTTTCCATGAAATTTATCATGAGTTTGTTACATTTCTGTATAACTGTGACAATTGTAACAGTGAACAATTTGTCCAGTTCACAGTGAACACTAGTTCGTACATGAAAACTGCATCTCTGAATCATTAAAAGTTGCATTAGTACTGAGGTGGGCTGAGACCGACTTCATAGAAAAAAATATGTGTCTGTGATAAAAATTATATCAGTGACACAGCCTTTAAAGTAAAGACATCAGTCACTCAATACGATACATTTGTGGTATTTTAGTTTTAAAATTTTAAACGGTTATAAAAATCAATTTTCGGGAAGGAGAACTATGTTAATTGTCATCATACATGTATGGTATCTGCCCTCCTATTCCTGCTTCATATTTGTTTATTTATGCACCTTTTCATTTTGTTTTTGAAAAAAAAAAGAAAAAAAGAAAAAGCCAATTAAGAATGTCTGATAGGGTGCACAGTGCTAGTTTTGTTTTGATATATCACCAGAGCTAGGCCTGGAAACCAAGAAAATTTCATTTGAAAAAAGTACATTTTTCTTCCTTAAGCTAAATTACATGTATATGTTTCAGAAATTCCTACATTAGTGTGTAAAATACAACTGCAGCTATCCAGCAATGTGTATTATAAGCTTTTTTTTATTTACCAAAAAGCTTCTTTTGTGCAACTACCAAAAATATCTGTATTTCACAAAAAATTCCCGTGGGGTCGTAAACGACTCCCCCCGGTAGGAATATGTTGCTAAATATGCCGGTATAATTAGGGTTAAATATCCACTGGAGCCCACCTAGCGTATAACACTTGTATAAGATTGCGCTGAAATCGACCTGGCATGTCATGCTTAATTGCATTGGTTTTTGCTAGGATTGCACATGACGCATGCTTCATTAGTGGCTTCCATACTGCAGAACGCTACTTTCTATAGCACGCGATCTGAGGCTTCCGGGGTACGGTCGTTCAGCCTCAAGAGCATTTCTAAAATTGCATTAATAGACGGCGCGGAAAACAGGAAAGAATGCAAACGTAAGATAGCCTTAGCTACGCTAGCCCCGTTAACGTGTATACGTAAGTAAAAAAAAAAGATACTTCATTGTGAACCTTTCACCGTTCAAACAATCATTTGTGATTCTTATTTGATCTGAATTGACTGGAATGTGCAATGCAGGATGATATCGGTGCCTCTCTACTTACAGAAATGAAAAAAAGATTAGTACTTCAATTACAGTAATGCCCATGGACCGACAACCTGCTCTGCGCTACAAATTGCATTTTCAAACGAAATTGCTTTCGTGATGCCGCTCCTGCAGCCGACACGAAAGGCCCATGCTCACGTGGGCATTTTAACCTGTAAGCTTCCTTGCGGAGTTTACCTAACCGGGGTTTGCATTGCAGTTGCGCACTGACTCTTTGCACGGTATTGATTATTTGAGATCGACTTGATAACGAAAGTAGAGGCTCGTTTAATCACAGTGCAAAGCGAGTTGTGGACGTCTGCTTATCACTCGCAAGTGGGGAGAAAGCACACGCGCAGTGCCAGAATGAAGCCAACGTGGAAAGTTCAGCGTAATTGACGGTGTATGTTTGGCGGCGGTTTGGGAGTGCGCACAAAGGACAGAAATTGTGGGAAAATTCAACCAAAAAACATCAAAAGTTAGTATACTGACTGAAATTTAATGCAACGAAATGCAGAAAAGCATATCGTGAAAAATGATACAACCAGTATTTCAGAACTGTTTCTATTAGATTGACATTTTGGGACAAATTTTTTAAAAGAGTTTTGCCAGAAGAAAAAATGAAAACCCTACAAAAACCCACTAAACCAGGCTTATATTATACCTGGAACAAATAAGTAGATCAGTTGGAGATCGTCCTTAGCATATATTTTCAATCAAAGGGCGATTGAAACTAAACGAATTACATCACCGGAATGCGGGCAATGTGCGATAATTGAAATTCTATATGGACCATATGAATAGCAAGAATAATAGGCCAACAATTGCACTAACCATATCCAAGTTAAAAGCACATTAAGCTGAGACCCACCGAGCATGGACGGCACCTTGACGAGAGAAATGTATGACATCATTTTTACTCAAGTTACGGACAAGGACAATAAACTGATGTATGCCGACGAAAACTTGACGAATGACATTGCGGGGCACTTCTACCAAATTTCGCCTACCTCAAATACCACGGTGTTATCCTCTGTGACGCCACTGCCAAATCAGAGTCACCTTGCCCATAACGAGAACATCTTCGCCGGTGTTTTTGTGTCCCTGACTACACTAGCTGGGATAATAGAAAACGGGATTGTTGTCATAGTATACAGACGGACAAAGAGGCTCCAGACTTCCACCAACCTTTTTCTCCTCTCTATGTGTGTTTGCAACTTGGTGGAGGCGGCTCTCTCGTTTCCTCTCATGGCTAGCTCAAGTTTTGCTCAACGGTGGCTCTTCAGCAAAATAGGCTGCCAAATCTATGCCTTTATCATATTCTCTTTGGGTCTGACGGGGATATTTCATCTTGTGATTGTAGCGGTAGATAGATATCTAGTCATATGCAAAGACACTAAAGTCAAAAAAGGTTCAGCCATCAAAGGGAGTATAGCTTGCTGGCTGTCTGGAATACTATGGGCGACGCTACCGTTTTTAGGGTGGAATGGTTATATCTTTGAGCGTGCGCATTTGTCATGCTGCATTAACTGGTACTCAAAGGATCCTCAAGATTTGAGCTACATTGTGACAATCATGGTCTTCTGTCTGTTTGTACCAATGGCTGTGATGTCGTTCACCTACGGAAGAATATACATTACGGTGAGTATTGATATTGCTTGGCAGCATTGGCATATTTTTTCTAACGTTATTTCAGGCGAGTGATTAAGGTAAAACGTTGCCTCTGGCAATCTCTGAAACTGAACACCTGTCTAAGTGCCTCACACCCATTTCTTGAAATTACTTTATTCGTTTCAAGTGGCACGTGCCTTTCGCACCGAACAAACAACACTGAGCTATTTTTAATACCCCGTGCAACGATATCACAAAACATATTGTCTGGAAATGCTCTGGAGAAGTCATGTGTCTTCTCATCTCTTTGTGCGACGAATGTTTTTCATCCTGTGTTTCTAGAATTAATCCTTTTTGCAAGCCGTGAACTCTGAAATCTTAAACCGCGTAGGCACGATTCTCCCCTCACCTGGCGTGACAGCTCTGGTTTTCTACAAACCACACTGCCAATCCTTCAGCTGTACACCCCTCTACGTTCAGGTCATCACTATCACTAGACTTTTTTCCGGTCACCAAACACGGTAAAAATCCCTGCCGTAAATATTATGTATAATTTTTTAACCCTCAGAACATTGACGGAATTAACAGTTACCAGATGGTAACGAGTTTGCTCTTCGAGAGGCAAAACAGATCTTTTTCCGCGTGCTTTAGCTCAAATTACCGTTCCAATTAGATCACGTTTGGCACATTTGATCCATTGATATTGTGTTGAAGCGTACCCTTGAACTTCTGGCAGGGTCATCTGGGCCCCATTATTAGCTAACGAGTTTATAATTAATACACATATTTTGGTAAAAATGACTCCTTTTCGCAGTAATATAAAAAAAACATAAAACGTTTGCTGAGGGAGCATCTTAAAAGTAATCATGCAGATTGTATTTTAATCTTAAAAATTTAAACCTGTGATCTAAGGTTCGTTTCAAAACGAAGAGTTTATTAATGTCATTGGGCGCGCATCAGTTTTCCAGCAAAGTGAAGCCGCTGATGTCACATTGAGCCGAAAAACAGTTGGCCAACTTTCTTCCGTGTTGTTATTATAAGCTTACCCGCAGCCTGTATCCTTTAGTTCATAATTCAACAGTTTTTTGTCGAGGGAGGCAAACGTAATCCTTTATTGGCTTTATTTAAAAAACGAGACAGCTCCCACGACCTGACTAAAAGGAAATTAAAAAAGGAATTTAGGTAGCGCTATCATGAAAACCAAACCGATTAGCACTTTGTAGAATAAAAATGGCAATAAAACCACAGACTCATATAACAACGGGCATCTAGCTGTTTGCATGCTAACTGTTCCGCTGAGTTTGATCTAGCCGCCGTTTTCTGGACCTGCCCTGAACTGGCTCAGAACGTGAACCTTCTCCGGCCACTTTCTAAATGTTGGTTTTACCAACTATTTCAATGAATCTATTTAGTTGATTTTAAAAAGCAGTGACCATTACTCTCCGTTCTTCAGGATTGTTGCTGACTGCGCTAACTAGCTTGCTGTCGCTATCAATGGCTGAGAGTGCCTTCCGACAGCATAAAGAAATTACGGAAAAAAGTCTCCGTCTATTAATGTCTTAAGTCGTCAGACTGGTATCTTATACGACTACGCCCGTAGGCCTATTCTGGCTGTAGAGGAACGAGCGTATTGGACCAAAACGAAACTGTTGGATATAAATGACGTCATATGAGACTACAAAAAGTACGAGAACCGGCGTGAGATAAGGTTCAGTTTCGCATAACTTTACCTTTAGTTGCGAGAATTCATTGTAACTCGGATAATTCCCATTCAACACATATACTTTGCCGCACACATTAATTTTTTTGATTCGTTTTAGATGATGACCGGTATATTTATTGGTTGCGTGCAAGATGGAGGAAATAGGTGTCCGTGTGAGTAAAATTGCCTAATCACTGGACATTAAGACCGATTATGTAGAGGTGAACGATAATTTTTTTTCCACAGGGGATGTGATTATTTCCTACATTGACCATTAAGTTCATCATTATATCTCTTAGCTGTAGGTTATACCGACAGGTCGTTCGCTGAATTAGCAGAATTAGTCGTGACAGTTACGAAACCCAATGTTTCATAACTGCAAACGTATTCCATAAAAAATCGCGTTATTGAGGGGATTTCTTACAGGTTAGCAACTGGCAGCGCCACGCCACGCCTCACTGGATTTCTTTATTATTATTATTATTACTAATATTATTATTATTATTAGTAGTAGTAGTAGTAGTAGTAGTAGTAGTAGTAGTAGTAGTAGTAGTGGAAGATATTGCTGTTATATATTTGATTTCTCTCTTCAAAGTTATGTTTTCGTGAAGAAGAAAACCCGTCTGACCCGTTAGTGGCTTTGCTAAGCTACTTTTATGCACTTGTCTTCTATCTAGACATCCAGACAGTTACGAAACATTCTTAATGACACACCATACACAGTTCGTGCTTCAAAAATGACAATGCATTCTTCTTGAGTTGAAGAAACAGCAGGGTCTTACTATAGGACACTTTGATTTTATTGATTTCTCAATTCATCTATAAAAACTAACTGATCAGCCCTTTTGTTGTTAACTTTTTTTATTCATTCATTCATTACTGTATGCATCGACACAATATTTAGTTCATAAATCAATTTTGCAAATAGTGAAATTCATTATTTATTAATCCATATATGTATCTATAAAACATTTTCATTATTATTATTATTAATGAACGTACACACTAAAGCTCTTTTACCACCCAGAACCTAGGCACAATATAACAACGTATCTCATAAAGTCAGCACGTAACGCCGGTGCGTTAAGTCCGTTGCCGTATATCAAGCATGGGAGACGTATTAGATTACCCTAGAAATACCGTGGCCTGGACGACTGCGCGAAGTCACGTCTTGTGTATGAGAGATCGGAAACTAGTTAACCAAAATTCCATAATTAAATTGATTATAACACAGTTTTCAGAATTCTACGGGGCTGTTTCATTAATTGTGCTTGGTTCGAATAGAATTTGTCTATGGTGCAATATTTTTCGTAAAATGAGCACACAGTGTAGGAATCAAATTTCCGATAATAATTTTGACTTTTCTACTCGAGCTTTAAACCTAGCGGTGTGGTCTTCATTTATCTATTACCGCATACGGTTGAGCAGCAAATCACCTAGCAAGCCAGCATGACATAACTTGAACCGAAATTTGTTCGTAATAATATTACCGTAGAGCCGGAAGTCATACACAAACTCACATCGTAACTCAATTAGACTTACCAGTATTTGATGCCCGTAAAGACCTTAACTTAAGGATTTATAGATGAATTTTGGCCTGTACCCGGAGGAGGTGTGTGTGTGTGTGTGTGTGTGTGTGTGGTGGGGGGGGGGAGGAGTGGGGCACACAAACCGCCCTTTTTGGCGGGTAATGTCCGCTTTGGGTGCATTGTTAAAACTGAGCTAGGTACACGAATATTTCATGGTAAAAAGGTTCACTTTTTTATGAAAAGACACCCCCTCCCCACGCCGCTATGAAATTGCTTTCTACGAGACTAAATTGATGAAAAATCCTTCATACTGAAAAACGGCAGCTATGTAGAGAATCCCCATGCATCCATTCTACTAGATTATCCCTGTTACGTGAACATTTAACTGTCAGACCTCCAAGCACCTGGGAAAAGTGATCGGGGCCTGGTTGCAGGTAATGGGAACATTGAACTCGTAAACACATTTTGTCAACCACAGGGGGGGGTATTCAAACGCAAAATGTATCACTTGTGTACGTCATGAACGCTCGTGGCAATTAATTAATTAATCAGTTTTGTCGACTTTTTAACTAGCATTGCCTTTCCCGAAATTGCCCATTGTGTCAACATGTGTTTAGAACGCAGACGGGACATATACACAACCCGTGATTGTTTCTGCAACGCAAATATATACACTCTTGCCCAAAATGGTTGGTACACGGAAATTTTGGGATGCACATCGCCCTGTTTCTTTCATTATTATTGATATTATCAAATTAATACTGTTTATATTGTGAAATATATGAAGTTGGAGGATTGGTAAAGTCAAGGAGAAACAACCAATGCAAATGTTTGGGGTGCCATTTGCAGCAACGGTATTTGCCCATTTGTTCCTCTGGACGAAAACCTTCACGCTGCCAGATACAGAGACATTCTCCAGCAGAACCTGGAGCCGTTCGCAAGAGGGATATACAGAGACAATTTTAGATTGCAACATGACAATGCACCTCCCCACACAGCCCGCTTAATTGCAGACTATATCCGACAAAACAACATTCAGCTGATGCCACAGCCAGCAAGAACCCCAGATACAAACCCAATTGAGCACATGTGGGACGAACTTGGTCGTGCTATTCAGAGGAGAAACCCTCCCCCTGCAAATCTAGATGAACTGCGAGATGCCCTTTAAGATGAATGGACCAGAATTCCTCTTCAAAGAGCTATAACTCTAGTTCACAGTATGCCACGCCGTCTGGCGGCCATTATCCAAGCTCGGGGTGGGCATACCCGCTATTTAGATTAATAATGCACTCTGAAGATGTTTCTTGACAATTTCCCCTAATTTCATATTAATTGTCAATCACAATATAAATTTATGTTTAATTTTTCACTTGGTACTGTTATGTAAAAAAGTACTCTTTTTGGGAGCATGAGAAAAAAACCCTAAATAAATTAACCCTTTTTTACATTTGCATTGGTTGTTTCTCCTTGACTTTACCAATCCTCCAGCTACACATATTTAACAATATAAACAGTATTAATTTGGTAATATCGATAATAATGAAAGAAACAGGGCGATATGCATCCCAAAATTTCCGTGTACCAACCATTTTGGGCAAGAGTGTATAAGTGTGTACAAAGCGCGTAAGGCGTTTAGATATTAATAATAATTGCCCTGTAATTTAAGAGCTCGNCCTCGTGCAACGATATCACAAAACATATTGTCTGGAAATGCTCTGGAGAAGTTATGTGTCTTCTCATCTCTTTGTGCGACGAATGTTTTTCATCCTGTGTTTCTAGAATTAATCCTTTTTGCAAGC